TAAAGTGGGTGGGAGAAATGTCAAGCTGATCCAAAGGCAGATTTTGTGTTAGTTTTTAAGTGATTAAAAAAAATATTAAGGAGGGAAAGACACTTTTCATTTTATCTCAAACAAAAATCTTCCAAGTGCCTGGTTTCTATTCAGAGCTCTTCTCTAGGTCAGTGATGAGGGCACCTAGCCACCTTGGGGGCCCAGCATGGGGGCATCCAGATTTGGGAGAACTGGAGTGAGGCAACGCTCCAATTCCAAACCGGGCAGAGCTAGTGCCAGCTCTCGTGTTTGCTGTGTGACTGGAATAGCTGCCAAAGCCTGCAGGAGTCAGGACGCCCACTTCTCTTTTGTCCGACTTCGAGCACTGGCTGTAAGGGGGTGCTATGAGTTACCAGACAAGCACCGTCCTTTACACGTCGCCCTTCAAACAGTGGTCTACCCAAGGATTCTGGATAGCACAGTGAATTAAACAATTCTGATTAACTATTATTAGAAAACTAGGGATGTCATGGATATGAGAGAGTCTTTTAGCTAAAATTGTTGTCCTGTATACCTAAATGTCAGAACCTTAATAATCAGCCTGTTTTTCAAATGTTTTCACTCAGTTTTCTAAGTATGGACTTAGTTACTGGAATCGTGACACAGTGATTTAAGGACATCACTAATGAAATTACATTAGTTATGGGAACACTTGCAGGTTTGGAAGCAACTCAGAAGCCTGAATTAGTTGTTACAATGTCCTTCTGGTAAAAGAAGTGGACTGCAAAACCCATTACCATTGCAACCACTCATTGGCAAATTGCAGCCTCGTTAGTAATCTTGGCAAGATGACAGGGGTTTTACATTACTGATCCTCTTGTTAGCCCCTTGAGTGTGTGACTGAAGCGGTCTTTCGGGAGCAGTTTGTGGAAGTGAATGTTGTAAATATATTTCCTTTATAGGCAAACAGATGCTCTCTGTCTTTGGGGCTATCAGAGTGGCACATTCGTGAACACACAACTCCTTTAAAAATAAATGGGAAGAGAAGGTAGTAGTTAAATCTGCCTAAAATTAAGATCTAATGATGATTGTAAGGACATACATTTTGTCATATTTTCCCAATGAGCCAAGACACATAAAGTAACATAAAGTAACTCTCTCTCGCTGCAAAACCGTCTCTTCAGTGGTGTGGATATTCTGTATAATTCTTATATATGACAAGGATTGCATGTATTTTTTTTAAATGAAATAATAGATTAAGCTATTAATGACATATTAACCTGCAATGCGTTAACATTACTATAGGGCAATATCAGTTGTTATCGGACAGGCAGTAGGTGGTCCTGTCCATGGACTTCACTCGTACAAGAAATTTATATAATTAGGAACAGGTCTGCCACAGATGTGCACAGGCACTCCCTCATGTGTCCCACACACCACAGTCCAGCTGAAAACATGTGTGATGCATGTAGTAAAGGAGCATGTTTCTCTCTTAACTGTGTCTGGGAGCGAAGCAGGTAGCAAGACTTTTCCCCTGGCAGGGAGATCACTCAGGAATTACCATCACAGGCAAAAGAGACTCAACCTGGGGAAATTAGTTTAACTTATGATCAATCAAAATCAGAGCAGGATAATAAGCAAATAAAAAATAATTCTTAAAACACCTTCCTCCCACCACTCCCTTCTTTCTGGGATTAACTTTACTCCTGATTTCTCTGCCTCCTCCCTGCAGTGGGATAGGGGGACAGGAAATGGAGTTATGGTCAGTTCATCACACATGTGTCCGCTGCTCCTTCCTCCTCAGGGGGAGGGCTCCTGACACCCTTCCTCTGCTCCAGCATGGGGTCCCTCCCACGGGAGACAGTCCTCCATGAACTTCACCAACGTGAGTCCTTCCCACATGCTGCAGTTGTTCATGGACTGCTCCAGTGTGGGCTTCCCGCAGGGTCACCACCTCCTTTGGGAACATCCACCTGCTCCAGCATGGGGTCCACCCCGGGCTGCTCTGCCGTTACCCTCCACGGCTGCAGTGGCACAGGCTCTATCGGATGTAGGGGAAGCTTCTCGCAGCTTCTCACAGAAACCACCCCTCTAGCCCCCCTGCTCCCAAAACCTTGCCACACAAACCCAACACAAAGCCAGGATAACAAACCAATGTGCTATCAGAGTAGCAAGGAGAGCATCGTCAACTGGTGATCAAAGCTCATCATGAGGGGAGGGTACCTTTGGTTTCAGTGTTTGCCCTGAGAACAGGTGCCTGTTGGTAAAAATCTGTAGGGCTCAAATACATGTCCATGTGTGTTAGGGTCTAGCCAGGAGAAAGCACAGCCTAACAGGACAGCTGGCAATGGTCCCCCAAGGTTTGTAAGCTATTCAGACTTCGTTCCTTCACAGTGTTCACCTTCATTCTCTGGCTGAATTGTCAGTTCAAAGGCTTCAGGGCAAGGTAGAGACAAAAAGCCATCAGGTTCTAAAGATAAAAATGTTCAATATAATGTAAGGACAAATTCCAGTTTTTCTCATGGATTCTTTAAAACAGGCTGTCCTTCCCTTAGGTTGACCTGAGAAAGCCGTGAAGCATCCAGGCAGAGTGCTTCCACATGAACAGAGCACACTGGTAGCAGTACCACATTTCCCAATAATTGCCCACAAATGCTTTATGAAGGACAAACAGTTCCACAAAGCTTCTCAGATAATACTCCCCTCTGCTTAAAAAGCCTCAGGAAGGGCTTCTCTGCTGAGGAGAAAAAAATGCCAGATGGGGAGGTTAGCTTGTCATGGGCTCTAAACAAGGGGTCTGTAGCCATACTGTTAAAAATTATTTTTTATCTCTGTGTTCTTCCTCTGTTCATTAGGTACTGGCCTCTGGGTGGCTTCTGCTTTGTAATAATTAATTATTCAAACTCTGCACACATATCTCTTTTCAACAACAACTAACCCCATTGTGTTGCAAGGACAAAAACCCTTGATAACAGCCAGGACAGATGGCTGAAGCCAGGCAACCCATTTCACACCTCTGTGTTATCAAACCTGGCTTTATTGGCAAACTGCATTGTCTTTGATATTTTAACTGAAGTGCCACACTTGAGGATGTTCTTGTTGTTCAAAAACCTCATATTTAATTATTTTTAATGCCTCATTATGAAGAAATACTGGAAAACATGATCCAACTGCAAACTAAAAGCTGAAAATCCAAAGAATACAAACTATGTCATTTAGTAAAAGGCTTGTTTGAGCACTTATTATTTATCTCTTGGTGTTTTTTGAACATGCTGGGGATGGAAACACTGCAGTGTTATTCAGTCAGTATCCCTGCTGGGATGCTCTCTTCTGTCCGTAGTGATACTATATAAGCCCCTGTCTCAAGGGAATGTGTAACAGTGCAGTGCCAAGATGCTGTGCTGAGATATTTGTGCCTCCATACTTCTTTTTCTGCAGGGCCTTCTGCCTCTAAAAAGACATCTGAGTTACTTTCCCCTCTCTCTCACTTCTTTGATCTGCTTGTTCATTATAGTCTAACCTATTCTTAATTTCCTCCTGCTATCCCATTTTGAAAGCCTCATGTATGATTTCCAGTTGATAAAATTGCCATTGGGATGCCCTTTCTCTTAGCATTGATCGTCATCACTCATGAACAGATGCTGGGGAGGCAGATGATCTTTCAAATGTAGCAAGGAAGACTAGCAAAAGAGTGCCTGGAGGCAGATTCAACCACTTAGAAGCATGTAGTCACACACCATGGTGTTAGCTTGCTTCGGGTAGGGAGGGGAGTGAGAGCTGCACATCAAAGTGCAAGGGAAATGTAAAATCCTTAGTGCTGTGATTCCTCCTTTCATCTGTGCTTTTTCTCCTGGCACGGTGTTGCAGGCAGTTCTGCTTTCTATGCCACTGAGTAGATTCAAGCTTCAGTGAATGTAAATGGACCTCCTGGATCTGTTTTTCAGAAGTTCTAACACTCACTAAAATTATTTTGAGATTGAGAATATTTTCAATCAGCAAAAGCAGGTACAAACAGCCTTTCTGGGACAAAAAAGGCTCAGGTGTTCTTCAGGCTCAAGCCGCAATGGGATGGGGAAGAGCAGGAAAACTGGAAACAATCCATTCTAGGAGACTCAGGCTGGGTCAAAGTCATGTGCTGCATGGTAGCAATAGATTGGCTTTTGGGCCCAGAGCTTGGGTGCAGAATCCTGCCTGTCCTTTTGATGCTGTGTCACATCCCAGCTGCAGCCAGATGAAGTATTTGAAAAAGATGTGGCAAACAGAATGTACCAAATTTATTCATAGGGCTCCCTTTCTGGGTTTATACTGGGAGCTGGGAACACCCCAGAGCCAAGCTCAGGTACCATTTTTCAAAGTAAAAAGCTACTGGAAGATAATGATGCCCACTCTTATAGTTATGTACCCCATAAAACACAATTTGCTTCAAGTAAGGTCCTAAATCTGTAAGATAACTGCTGCTTGGGCAGGATTTGGACAGCAGAGGGTGGCAAAGTGCAGCTCACAAAGGGACTCGGGGTGCTGGGGGGCTGCTGCTCGCTCCCCGGCAGCCCGGCAGCTTCGTGCGGCTGAGCAGGTATTTAACATTCATTTCCAGACCTGAGGCTTCCTCGGCCATCATGTGGGATCAAGATTTATTCCCTGATCTCTTGCTGCTAGTGCTATTGCTTAACTGCAGACAGCTCTGCTGTGCTCTTCTGCTTTGCCTTTCATATTCTCTTTGGTTTTTACTGCACATTCAGCTACTAGAAAAACATTGTCATGGTTATTTCCTTGTACAGCCTAAATGCCTGTTGCCTTCAGTAAGTGTTTGATGAGTGTGAGTAATTCTGTAATGTCTCTAACCCTTTCAGTGCTCCAAAACATAGACCAGTGATTATTGTAGAGGAGAAATCGCTATGAAAAAAAGAATGCTGTGCGTGTGCATGTACATAAAAAACTGAAATGTAATATGAAAAGTGTAATATACAAGTTAACAAGACCTCCAAATGTCAGGAAGAAGAGATCTTAAGGCCAGTTTTTAAAATTTTGTTAAGAAATTCCAGAAATACTAACTAACTTAATTACTTGGAGCTATACCAACAGGCAGCCTAAAACAGTGAATGTTTACTTACTTCTGAAGCACTTTTTACTTTTGTGAGTAGTATGAAAAATTTTTCCCATCTGTAGAGGCCTGGCCCGATTTAGGAAAGACTTCTCTAACGTGATATGAACAGTATCCCATGAACCGTGGTTCAACCTATGGTAAAACTGAAGCTGGCATTTTGAGTACTCAATTGTCCGTATGAGATTAAACAGGAAAAAAAAAATATATGTTTGCAATTTACAGCTTACAGTGAAGTCTAAAGAGATACTCTGTATAACTGTGTTTGTGTGTTAAACAAATTTGGCTACAGCTGCTGTGTAATGTCACGACCAAAAGTTACCATAGTTCATAGTAGGCAATGCTCCATCATGTGCTATCAGGTAATTTATAGTCGCGTCCTTCCAAGAAGGGAACATTCTTCAGTCTTGCTCATTTATTAATATAATCTTTATCTGATCTTTGGAGTCATGAAATGAAAGAGTAGATCATGGAGGCCCAGAAATCAGAGGAAGAAAACAGCTATTAGAACATGTAGCTCATTATTCCATCCCTAAAAGGCTACTCCACAGTGCATTCTTGGGTACTTTGTCCACTATACATAAAAACCTGGGAGCACGAAATAACAAAGGAGCAATTCTAGTGTGCAGAAATGCCAGTCCTTTTCTCTCTGCTTTGATCCAGCTATAGGATGAAGCAAAGTAGTAATTGCTGCCATTACAGGGAACAAATCTATTTGCATTTCTACAGTGCTTCAGCTCTAGCTGTGAATGCCTAATCAGTCCTATTGCTGGAAAAATGTTTCCATCCTCTTGTCAAATCTATGTCTGATTGCAGTGCATGACTATACAGACACTGAACTCCACCCATGTCCTGGCCCACATCAGGAGAGGGCTATGGTAAGAATTTTTGAAGCTGATGCTGTCGCACATGAAACAGAATACAGCAGTGTCAGTGGTTCAGTAAATACTCCTTTCACCTCTAACAGAATACTGCCCATCAGAACAGGCAAGCGTAACTGCTTCTATAAGAACATAAAACTCTGAATAATGCATGTGTAAAGATCCCATGGCACACTTTTGCAGGAATAGTGACATTTGCCCCAAGTCCTTACTAGCTTTAGCCATAATAACTACACTGTGTTTTTCTCACCCAGCCTTCCCCCGCAGTTTTGATTGTAGGCTGTATTTCCCATTCCCTGTTCTATATGCTTTATCGGAGTAATAAGCACTATTGAGCGAGTGCTACATTCTGATGCAAACGTAACTGGACAATGTGACACGTTTATAAATTTACCCTGAATCTGAGTAAGCTGCACTTGCTTTTTCTACCAATCAGTACTGTTGTTCTGCCTTCACAAACCTGGAAATTTAAGGTCATTTAAGCTTAGTACTGGCTTCTCAGGTCTGATACAGCCTCTTTGTTTCCAACACCCAGCACAGAAGTGTTGTAACCTGGCCAGGTTAAAGATCCCTATAGGAAAAGGAGGTGGCTGAAACAGCACAGAATTGGCACATTGTCAAATAGCTCATGTGTGCAATGGACATAGTAGAGGTGAGGACAGATCATTCGTGACAGATCATACGTGAAGGGTGAGTGTCAGGAGGATGGAGCCAGGCTCTTCTCTGTGACATCTAGTGATAGGACAAGGGGCAATGGGTTCAAGCTGGAACATAGGAGGTTCCACTTGAATATGAGGAAAAACTTCTTTACAGTGAGGGTGACAGAGCACTGGAACAGGCTGCCCAGAGAGGTTGTGGAGTCTCCTTCTCTGGAGACATTCAAAGCCCGCCTGGATGCGTTCCTGTGTGATCTGATCTAGGTGTTCCTGCTCCGGCAGGGGGATTGGACTAGATGATCTTTCGAGGTCCCTTCCAATCTCTAACATTCTGTGATTCTGTGATTCTGTGATTCATTACTTCTAAGGTCCAGCTCTGCTGCCTCCTTGTTAGCCCTTGGTTCAACACTGTGTCTTATAAAGCATTGTATCACACGATTTAGTTTACTGACTGTCAAATGTTTGTATCATTCATCTGACAGAACTGTTCATGCCTAGAAAAGAAAAGGAGACTCTTTCTCCAAGCTCTTTAAGTATTCGAAGATCAATAAAACATACAAAACATGTTCGGGTGGTGTCAGGGACTGACAGTCATGCTCACTATAGCGAAGTAACTCCAAAGTTATTTTTGCAGTTACTCCACATTTACACCCTATTGAGAAAAATCAGTGTCTGGGAGCAATAGTCAATCTGAGCAAGCGAATAAAAGGAGACACAACAGGGTTTTTGTGTTATTTTCAACTAGCCAAATCACATATGCTTGCCTTATTCATCTTTGTATTTAATTTGATATGTAATTCACATGAGTTAAGCAAAAATTATTTGTCCCCTGGTTTGATGTTTTCACATACACATTTAAGAATTACATCCCCTGTAATCTACTGTCACTATGTTGGAACTGATCCAAAGTCAAAATCTTTTATACAAATATCTCAATCTTTTCTCATTAAAAACATTTAGTCTTCATGTGTTTACAAAGTAAATTTTCCATGTGAAAGCAGCCAATACCTCACAAGTGCATTTGCATTTAATCAATTTAATTATCATTCACTTGCCTCACCCAGGAAACATTTAAGGAAATTTTCCACTTTGTCATTTCAACTAAAAGCTACAGTAGTACCTTTAGATTTTAAAGATTGGCAAACCTCATCCTGTAGAATGGGAAATTTTATTTGTTAAGCAAGACACACAACTATTATGAAGACCATAATAGGAATAGTGTGCCCTGTAAATGGACATGTGCAAGCCTTGGAGTTTAGAAGTGTGCCCTGCATGAGATGCATAGAGTCAATCTATCTTAAAGATGTTACTTCCACAAATTATTCAGATATGCTGTGGTAAAACTCTCTTTTATACATCTGGCTTGTGTCTGCCTAAGTCTTCTTAATCAGACCCTAGTGCTAGTAAAATAAAATACAATTGTTTAGAAGGTTGTTCTGCCTTCAGGGGAAAGAAAATGAGAAACTGGAGAGGGAGTGAAGCAAATCTTGACACATCTGTAGATTTATGCCAGAAGTTCAGTCATATATCCTACAGGTTCCCATAGGTTTATATCCTACAAACCAGAAGGAACAAGCACTAACTTCTGCCTACTACCTTCTACTAGCAATAACGAACCAAATTTCCTGGCAATTCCTAAGCTTAAATGGGACTTATCCTGGGTTGTTATCAGTGAGGAGCATAGGTATAGGATAGAGCCATGAATGAACTGCTCTGTGGCTGGGGTTCATGCAGTATGAACTTGATTAAAAGAAAAAAATAATTTATACATAGGGCTTTTTACAGGGCTAAAGCCTGTGAGGAAGAAGTTTATGGATCATAGAATCATAGAATAGTTTGGGTTGGAAGGGACCTTTAAAGGTCATCTAGTCCAACCCACCTGCCGTAAGCAGGGACATCTTCCACTAGATCAGGTTGCCCAGGGCCCCATCCAACTGATCTTGAATGTTTTCAGGGACAGGGCATCTACCACCTCCCTGAGTGGTATCACTCTGGTATGGTACAGCTGTGACGAAAAGCAGCAGGCACTCTGAATATCTAGTATATTCTTGGTAGCCTGGACAGGAGGTTTTCATTTGCGTTGTCATTCATTACCTTGAACTTGTCAGTTGCTTTTAAACATACTTAAAAGCAGAGGCTTAGGGAATGACTTCTCTAATCCCATCCCTCACACTCTGCACAAAGACCAGTTGCCTAACCTGCCATGTGTTTGGTTATTATTAGGCTTTGCCCCAAGGGCTTTTCTGTGAAAAGGCTGGAGCAAGTTCGTTTAAATTCCTCTTGAGGCTGAAGGTAGATATTTTTGGCAACCAATCTGACAGAAGCTTTTGGAACCTTCTTTCAGGCCAGTTACTGGCATAAACCGCTCGCTGAGGCTGCCTGAGGAGTAGGGACTGGGATGGACACAGAATGGGGAAACACTAGTCATCTTATTTCTAGTTGCCCAGTATTCACTCTTCTGCCATTCCCAGTGGTCAGTGGTAACTGACTGAACTGTCTTTGCCATTGACATTTTGTGGCATCAGAGAGAAGTCAGATCTTCAGCACAACATTGTCATTATCATAATTAAAGAAGTGTTGTAACAGATGCATATTTGATGCATTTTGGTATAAAAATAACAAAACTACAATGAAGAAAGAGCTATGTTCTATGGAGCAGAACCAACAACACTGTGTGAAAGATCTGATCAAAATATTTGTGTACCTACTGACCAATGTAATCTGCATCATACAGTAATGTAATCAGGGTGGGGAAGATACAATTCTCATAATACTACAGACTCATAACTGCAGACTCAGTTTCTTTATAGGATACTGGTATTTGTCAAATTTTGTATTATTACAACTTCAGAAGCCACAAACCTATTAAATAAGAGTGTTTAAAAAAATACAGTAGCACAATAGTGGGCTTCTTTGGGACTCCGCTTTTATATTT